TGAGCTGCCCCAGTAGATGATGCCTCACACATGTTGTTGCAACTCTTTGCTGGTGGAGTTAAGGGCAGGCTGTGAGACTCCACAGGGAGAGGACTCTGCAAGCTTGACTCTTGTTTCCTCTCATTTTCTCTCCACGCACACTTGCCTTAGCTGATTTTGCTTTGTATCCTTTCACTGTAATAAATCTTACCATGAATGTAACTGTATGCTGATTCCAGTGAGTCCTTTTAGTGACTCACCAAATGGAGGCTGTAATCCCTGAACACACAATCAAACATTTTTATTTGCTAATCTGACAGGTGAAAATAGGATTTTAAAATCTTCTGTATTTCTTAACTATGATGAGGATTAGCATATCTTCTCTGACCTGATCCTGTCCTTTGTTGATTTTTAATAGACTTTATTTTTTAAGAGCAGTTTTAGGTTTACAGAAAAATTGAGTGGAAAATACAAATGGTTCCCATATACTCTCTGCCCCTGCATATGCATCGCCTCACCCATATCATCATCCCCCGTAGAGTGGTACATCTGTTACAAATGTTTTACACTGACATATCATTATCACCCAAAGCCCAGAGTTTACATTATGGTTCACTCTTGATGTTGTACATTTTATGGGTTTACTCATGTCTCAACCACGATGGTATTACATGGAGTAGTTTCACTGCCCTAAAAATTTCCTGTGCCCTGCCTATTCATCCTTCTCTCCCATGTAACCCTTGGCAACACTAATCTTTTTACTATCTCCCTAGTTTTGCCTTTTTCAAAATGCTATATAGTTGAAATCATACAGTATGTAGCCTTTTCAGATTGGCTTCTTTCACTTAGTGATATGCATTTCAGTTTCCTCTATGTGTTTTCATGGCTTGATAGCTCACTTCTTTTTCAGTGCTGAAAAATATTCTGCTGTCTGAATGTAACACCGTTTCCTTATCCATTTACCTACTGAACAATAGGTAAATGTTCTTGATTGCCTTCAAGTTTTGGCAATTATGAACAAAGTTATTATAAATATCCATGTGCAGATTTTTGCATGGATCTAAGTTTTCAGCTCCTTTGGGTAAACATGAAGAAGCATGATTGCTGGATCATATGGTTAAAGTATGGTTAGCTTTGTAAGAAACCACCGAACTGTCTTCCAAAGGGGCAGTACCATTTTGCATTTCCACCAGCAAGGAAGGAGAGTTCCTATTGCTCCACATCTTCACCAGCATTTGGTGTTGTCACTGTTTTGGATTTTGACCACTCTAATAAGTATACAGTGGTACCTCATTGTTGTTTTAATTTACATTGCCCTGATGACATATGATATAGAGCATCTTTTCATATGTTTATCTGACATCTGTATATCTTCTTTGGTGAGGTGTCTATTAAGGTCTCTGATCCATTTTTCAGTCCAGTTGTTTGTTTTCTTATTGTTGAGTTTTAAGATTTCTTTCTATATTTTGGATAACAGCCCTTTATCAAATGTGTCTTGCAAATGTTTTTCCCAGTGTGGCTTGTCTTCTCATTCTCTTGAACATTTGCTGACTTTTATATTAGATTTTGGACCTTTCTCTTAATGATTTGTAGGAGTTCTTTATGTATTAAGAAAATTAGTTCTTTGTCAATTTTATGTATCACAAATATTTTTTCTTGGTTTGCTACCTGGATCTTAACTTTGTTAACCTTTTTCCTGAACAAAATTTTCTTTCTTTCTTTTTTTTTTTCAAATAAATATAATCATATAGATTAGTCATTTCCTGTATAACCTTTGCATTCTGTGGCCTAAAGTGTCCTTCTTTAATACTTTAACATTCTATCTTTTCTTCTAGCATTTAAAATGAAAACATTTTTAAGCACTGAATGAATATGGACTTTGGGTATAACAACTGAAAAGGGGGTAAATTCTTATTTTTCCCTCCTTCTTTTTATTCTTTACATGCAAAGCAACTGCACTCCAAACAAAAAACAAATTAATTAAATTCTCATTCTCATTGATTTTAGCCTGTTGAAAGCAGAAAGCAGGGCAAATCTACCATCTTTAGCTTTGAACTTCTAGCAGCGATTCTACTAAAATTATTTTTATTTGCTCTATGAACTGCTTCTCCAAGATTCTTTCGTTTATTTAGCTAAATGCACTTAGTTATTGTACTAGAAGTTTTTTAGCCTTATTATTTTCTATTCTCTTATATTATAAAATTATGAATTTGATATAAAATGAAACACTTTCATCATCAAGTCCTTCATCTGTGGTCCTGTTCTTTGTTGGTGTTATCTATTTACTCTTCACTTTATTAGCTTCACTGGTATGGTGCAATGTTTGAGAAAAATATGGGCAAAATACCTAATACTGCTTCTTCTTTACTAATTTTCTTAGTTATATATATTTATTTATATTATTCTTATATATAATTCTCAAATAAAAGAGATATTAAGAAACAAACTAGCCAAGACATGGAAACAACCTAAATGTCCATCGACAGATGACTAGATAAAGCAGCTGTGGAATATTTACACAATGGAATACTATTCAGCCATAAAAAAGAATAAAATAAGGCCATTTGCAGCAAAATGGATGGGCCTGGAGAATGTCACTCTAAGTTAAGTAAGCCAGAAAGAGAAATAAAAATACCATATGATATCAATTATGTGAAATCTAAAAAAAAAAAAAAGACAAACTTATTTACAAAACAGAAACAGACTCACAGACATAGAAAACAAACTTATGGTTACCAGGGGTACCAGAGGGGGAAGGGGATGTGAAGGGATAAAGTGGGAGTTTGAGAGTTTTAGGTATTAATATATAAAAAATAGGTAAACAATAAGTTTTTACTATATAGCATAGGTAACTATATTCAATATCTTGTAGAAACTTGTGAAACAGAATATGAAAATGAATATATGCATGTTCCTATATGACTGAAGTAGTGTACTGTACACCAGAAATTGACAACACTGTCAACTGACTATACTTCAATAAAAATTGAAAAAGAACCAATTCAACATGAAGTTTAACTTATACCCCAATAGGTTATAATATACATGCAACTATCATTTTGTTGGAATATATGGTATTTCTAAGATGCTATGGAAGATATGGTATTTCTAACAGAATATAAGCACCTAAGAGATTATCTGTAGATTTTTAAAATCTATTTGCTTACAATTAACTGGATGAGAATGTTAGGCTCTATGCAGTGGGAGCTACTATCCTAATTATACTTTTAATTGAGTAGTCAACATGAAATTAAATGTCTACGAGAATATTAACCCAGTGACAGCAGGAGACAACTCAAGTTGCCTTGGAGGCTCATTCCATTACATGGTGGGAGACAAGTAACTAATACAACTGTGATACTTCAGGAAAAGGGATTGGGAAATCACCAGAAAAAGGACAGCTAGAAAAGAATAAAACAGGGATTGAACTGAAAATGTACATGACACAGAATCACAGGTGAAGACAGGAAGGCAGGCAGGCGCGCGCACGCGCACACACACACACCCCGCACTGAAGGAGTTACCGGGAACCTGCGGAAACAAGGCAGGAGAAGCACCGTTTAGCAAGACCAGGAAAAGAGTTCAGGATTGATGACCTCAGAATGGAGAGAGAGCAAATCACTGCATGGCTGAAACAAAACACAACTGTGTAAGTACAAAGGAGGAGTAGCAAATATTCTAAAGATAGCGAACAGAACAATGCTACGATGAGAGAAACTGTCTAAGGCATATAAATCATTTGTTTATTTACGCACTTACTTAAACTATATTCTGCTCCAAAAAGGCTTTCAACCAGCTTTCAAAAATCCATAGATAGCAAAATCATTAGACAAGAATGAGTGAAGGAAAATAAGGAGGATGAGAAAAAGATGAAACCAGTGGGGAGGGGGTGTTAGTAAACAACAAGCCTGCCACACAGCCCTATTTATGGTCCCAAGAGCCAAGGTAAACAGGAAAACGTGATCTATTATGAGATTTCCAGGGGCCATAAGGAAAACAATCCAGATGCTCACTAGAAGCACAGGGGCTGATACTTCAGTGAAATTTATCTTATGTGTTTTTAATCAAGAGAACAGACTGTGTGATGGAGTAGATGACACTTTCAATGTCACTTCTACAATAAATATGATATAAAATTCTGAGTGGTTACTGTAATTTCTCTCAATTCAGTCCAAATCATAGCTGCATAAATATTTCAGAAGAAGCAATTATGCAAATGATCCAGATAAGCCACTCCCAGACAGTCTCACTTATCCAAGAGCAAAATTTAGAATATCCAGAGAACTTCATATCATTTAGATAATCCTCAATGAATATTTTCACAAGAAATAAATCATACATGAGAAAGTCTTTCAACATACAGTCATTATTTGCCCAGAGATAATTTGACAAGTATTTTCTGTCTAGAAAATGAAGCCAATTAATTCACATGTTTTCTAAATTAAGCTACTCATGATTAAATAACCTCTACTTACCTTATTTTCTGCTGGTTCCCCTTTCCTTATTTGGGGAGAGTTTTATACTTCCATTTTATAAAACGTGAAAGGAATTATTCTTAGGTATAACTCCCTGGGTTGTTGTTTAGATTTTATTTATAGAATAATTTTGAAACTGCTATAAATTTGGAAAGATCACAAGTGTGCCTGCCTTATTCTCACTAAAATAAGTATCTGAACTGAAAATCCCAAAACTCCAGCCTCTTAAGTTTTTCTTTTCCATTATAGGTGGAAACAGTATTGACCTGAAGTAGTAGTATCATCTCCTGGAGAACCCCTCATGCTTTAGATTTGGGCAGGAAAATTTAAATTAACTCTAGCACCTAAAAATGAGCAAAACAGAAGTAACTCCAGGAAACCCACATACGCTTAAATGACTGCAACTGGAAAATGTCCCCCTTGGGGGTAGCTCGTACTAGGTGGTGCACATACGAACGCCAGGATCTAGGACAGCACGTCTTAAGTACCCTCCAGCCCATGATTTTGACAGAGAGACTCGTGCAGTTAGTGGTAATAAAACCTTACCTCAAATCAGCAGCTTTCCCCGTCTTGTTTGTACACATAACCTCTCTGGTTTGATATCCAATCTGGATGTCCCAATATTTGTTCTCCTGTCGGTTCTGTCTGTTTCTGTTTCTCTTTTTCTTAATTAGTTCACGGGCCTCCGGATCCTTCACTCCTTTTCCCCGGTCCTTGTCCCGTTCTTTATTTTTCCCGCGTCTCCTCGCCTGCCTTGCTTGTCTCGAGTGGGGTGTGGAGCACGTGCTCCAGGGACCCACCTGCAGGCTGTACATGCTCTCCTCGGCTTCGCAGGGAGTGGACTGGCACACCTGAAACTCCGTCAGGTTTGGGCAGCCGGAGCCTCCAAACTGGGGGGGTGCCACCACGTGACGGGTCCGGTGCTGGAGCCCACTGCCGCAGGTCTTGGAGCATTCCGACCAGGCCGAAAACTCAGACACGATGCAGTCCTGCTGGCAGGGGATGAGGCAGGCCTGTTCCAGGAGAGGCTTGGGCTCAAAGTACTCACAAATGATATCATCTGCAGGGATGTCTTTCTCCTTCTGGATGCACGTTATCTCTCTCACCTGAATGCCTTCTTCCCCCTTAACGCACTCCAGGGGTTTCTCCAGGCTTCTAGAAATCACAGGCTGACACTGATTCCAGGGTCCCAGCCTCCAGTCATACAACTCTTTGTGCCAGTCACAGACTTTGAAACAATTCTGCTGGTTACTGGGTCTCTCAGGCTGCTTACAGTTCGTATGTAACGTTGTCCAGCCCTCCACGTGAGCACACCACACAGCCCGGGTTTGAATGCCTCCTGGACCACACTCGTCTCCCATGCACCGGCCCCACGGACCTACGAACAATACAAGAGACACCAGTGCTACTAGAAGAAAACTACACGTGACTTCACATTCTAGAAAAACGTTTCAAGATCTAGCACATTCACTTCCCTGAAGTGTTCTAAAGTAGGTCTCTGTACATGACTGTTGCAAAGTAATGATCTATACTCAAAAGGGGAACTGTGTCACCGAGTTTATATAAGGTAACAGCTGGGACAAGTTCACTTTGGGTCCTTCTGGGATTACTGGAAACTTGCTTTTATTCATTTTCTTAATTTGAGGTAGGTAGATGACCCTTGCTCATAAAGGACATTAGAAACTAGGCACAGTGAAAACCCCTTACTCCTGCCTCATAACCATCAAATCCATTTCAATAAGTGGCAGAGAAAATGGCCCCGTGTGAAGAATCTTGTCTACTGCAGGTTTTCCTTTTCCTGAGCAATTAACTATCTTGCAAATCATGCTCTCTTCTCCCTCATGTTCTACTGGTGTACATACTATGACTGCAAGAGTCTACTAGTTGTATATACGTGTGCTAACAGATGTTTCTGGTAACCAAGGCTAGGAAGTGGAAAAATTCATTTTAGCACACTCTGCCTCTAATTTTACCCCCCCAATTAACTTTTCTCATATCCTCAGTGACTGTAAAGATGGGTAAGAAAGTTAAAATTTAACTTAAAGACTTTGGGAATTGTCTGCATGTTCAAGGGTTCCTTGGAGTTTTATCAACTTATTCATTTTCTAAAACTGAACCATGCGGCATTAGAGAGCAATTTTACAGGATACGGAAGCCAGCAGCTTTAGTATGAAATGTGGACTTTTTACCTTAGACTCCTTCTTAGCACAGATGAAAACTTACTGACATCTGCATATATCATTTCTGTTTTTAAGGTAGCTAATAGGATTCTCAGGACCTTAACAGACAAATTTATAAAAATTGAGATTATATTATTTTTGAAATTTTAAAGAATTTTAAAGATCATATAACGGCATGGTTTTCAAAATGTGGTCCATGGCATTTGAGGAATCATTTGATGCAGACTCTGGCCGTCTTCAATAGCTTGTGTGGGAAGGTGAGGGACAACATACAGGGTCGGGCTGTAGAGACACTCGGCCCCACCCCACTGCCCTCCTCCCTCATCTCTGCTTCCCTAAGAAAAGCTCCATTATTATTATTTTTTATACATGTTGAGATTAATACATAAGATTTTGTCTGAGAAGAGGTTTCTGTTGCTAAGAAGTAAAAATCACTAAACTAGGCTAACAGATTCACTCTATGTATGAAGAAAACAAGTGACACAGAAGGGAAGTAATTTGCCAAGTTTACATCTTGAATGAACAACAAAACCATCTTGGATTTCAATTTCCAGTTCTGACTTTGAATTTTAGGATTTATTCTAGAGTTTAGAGTTGGAGACTTAGATACTCCTATACAAAATAATTCACCTATAAAGAATAAAATATAAAGAATGCTTATAATTTAATTTAAACATTTACTTTTAACTAGGAAGATGTTTACAGCTTGAAGATGTGAAGTTTAATATAAATGGAATAATGGAATTGTAAATAGAGAAGAGATTGACTGAAAATACTGTGCTAACTAACCACAGTTGCATGAAAATAAGAACTGGATATGTGGCATATCCATTACATTGCTTTATGAAGTTCATATGTAAAGAGTATTAAGGGGCTTAAAATACATTCAGGGAAACAGTCTTCCCAGAGCACTGATACCCAAACTTTACAAGCTAAGAAAGTCAGTGAATTTGTTACATCTGTCAGTATGGAATACTTGGTAATATTTTAATCTTATTTGTAATTTGTCAAAGGAAAATACATATTCATAAAGCTGTTGATTCTCTCTTAGAGATTTTCTAAATACCCAGTTTGGGAATCAGAATCTAGGACCCTTCTCAATAAGGGAGTATAGCAATATGTATAAAATTTTATAATTAATTCCACACATCTTTGCTATTTATTTCTTACTAAATAACAGACTGGCTCTATTGCCCCTTAAGAATAGAACTTCGCCTGTCTTCTGCAACATTTGATTTGATCATGTCTTTTAAAGTCTCATGGTTGGCTTTTGAATGAATTTCCTCAGTTATTTTGTTCAGAAAAGAGAGAACTGATTTGTAGATCTTAATATCCAATGCATTACATGGTTCATGCTAATGCCAGCAGAAAGAAAGAAATTGAGTTCAAGAAAATTTCTACACTGTTTCATATACATTGATAATAAGTAAGCACTTCTAAAGTTTACTTAGATAACTAGAAAAAGCATTCATTCTATATTCAAATTCAACTCAATTCCCATTCCAAAAATATTGCCATAGATTCCTATTAACCAGCTACTTACAGATAACACTGTTGCGTTTATTTTACTCCAAGTATATTTACATTGAGAACCAGAAGATAGAATATCCCAAGAAAATTCCAGAGATCTATAAAAATACACACTATACTAAAGGAAAATAAAACGCATGAAGGCACCAGCGAAAGTAGAGGTGGTAATGTAATCACAATGGAACCTGAAGAAAACCCATTCACTTTGCAGGCCTCAGCTGTTGTCTTATCTTTCATTGCACCCTGGGTACTGTACATGTGTCCAATTAACTGAACTCTTGAAAACTCAGATCTTCACTACTATCCACCTGATGAAGGGCTGTCTACTTCTGCTCTCCAAGTAGTCTTAAAATAATCATACATTGAACAGAAAAAGGTTCACAGCTAAAATCGCTCTTGACAGTTAAGAATTGGTAGTACAATTAGTTACCATGTTTCAATGAGGACAAATATTTTAAAGTGCAATTTGAAAGCACAATATGCAATCTCTGTTAAGCAAAGCACGAAGTCATCTCCCACAGACAATATAAGAAGTGATACTTAATTCATATGTCTATGCATAAATGTTAAATTGCAGCCCCACATCTCGTATTACTAAGAGTGGGAAGTGATGTTGGAAAAGTTATGTGTGTGTGTGTGTGTGTGTGTGTGTGTGTGTGTGTGTGTGTGTGTGTGTAGGATGTTTTAGTTTTTAAACGAAATAAGAAAGTAA